CGTGCTGCAATCTGGGGAGTCCTGCTGTGCTGGGGCAGCGAGCTCCTGCCCCCAGCTTTCCATCCAGCCATTCCTAGCATTACACATCCCTGGGAATAAACTCAGAAACTACAGATGAGGTCATTCCCAAGAGTCTGCTTAGGTATTTGGGGCCCTTGACACTGAGAGGAGCTAAAATCTTATGCTCTATGAATGCTTTTTAAAGGGAAAGTGGAACTCTTTTTATAGTACATTAGCTGTTTGCTAATCTTGAATTGGTAAATTATTAACTCCTCTACAATTTGTTTGTCCTTATTGTTAGATACTGCACTAATACACATTCTTCTATCTTGCCTCCTAAGAAGCTTTGGGAGTGACAGTTACTTATCAAAATAAAAAGAAACCCCATTATTCATTAATTAATATTGTTTAAGCATATTAACAAGCCTGAGGCTGATTTCATTGCTGTGCTGTCCTTTCAAGTGATCCATCAAATACAAAAAGCAACAGTTGACCCAAACAGCTCTGAAATTGACTGGATGCTCTAAACTTTGAAACATTTGTCCAGGAAATTGCTTCACATGCTCCTCTGCGGGCCCTGAGATAGCACAAAAAGCACAGCATGCCAAGATACCTCAACACTGAGGATGGGGGACTCTGTCCTATATTCTATTTGTTTTAGGGTTTAACAATTAAGAATTAAGAAGAAAGTGGAACTCCAGGGTAATTACAGAGAACCTTTTTCAGTCTTACTGAATTTGTTTTAGGGTTTAAGAATTAAGAAGAAAGTGGAACTCCAGGGTAATTACAGAGAACCTTTTTCAGTCTTACTGAGTCAACATGCACATCTGTCAGTGTGCCATGACCTTAGGCTCCCATACTTCCATGCTCCTCTCCCCCAGGAGAGGGCTGGGCTTCCAGCTGGTGTGTGTCTGGTGAGAGCACACCCATGTCAGAGATGGCACTTGAGCTTCAAGTCACCATTAATGTGCTGACAAAGAATCCCCATCTTGTCCATCTCCCCCAGGAGAGGGCTGGGCTTCCCAGCTGGTGACAGCATACCCATGTCAGAGATGGCATTTGAACTTCAAGTCACCATTAATGTGCTGACAAAGAATCCCCATCTTGTCCAACCAACACAAACCTTTTGCCTGAGTGTAGATGGTGCTGAGTCAATAAATGTGGGTTTCTTGATGCAAAGGGATGTGCTGTGCTCCAAATGCATCATCAGAATCACAGATTAGCGATGTCTTTTTAAAAATGTGCTCCGAACATGAGTTTTTCCGTCCAAAAATAACTTTTATTTTGTTCATATTAGAAGAGCAGGATGTTCTTTCCTGTCCTGAAGGGATAAGGAGGAAATGAGAACTATGGGGTTCTTATATGGTATGAGCTACTATTCTTCTGGACTAGTGCTGTGAATCTTGATTTTTTTTTTTTCTCCCCAGGCTTAGCATTGTATTCCCCATGGACCTCATTTTGCATTCATTCATGCTGATGTTACTCCAGTGAAGCTCTCTGATATCAAAGGCATTCCTCCATGTTTACAACCTCTCTCATCCTAAGGCAATAGACATTAGAAGGGAGGCAACCTACCGAAGACAGTGCATGCTAAATGTCTCAATTCCCTTTTCCAATGAGATAAAGTCAGTTGAGAACATGAGTGGGGGCAGAAAGCATCCTTTCCTGTACTCTGTGTTCAAGGAAAGAGACAGCAGTTTGGAGGAAATGTGAACGTAATGGACTGTACATTTGTATCCCATTGTACCAAGGTCTGACAGGAAACACTTGGGGCTTGATTCAGGAAAAAGTAAATCTAATCCCTTTAGAACACTCTCATAACCCCGGCTATCCTGCAGTATTTGACTACATCCCTGTCTTTAATGTATATATTCTCACAGCTCTCTCCAGAAGACCAGAAGGAAATCTGGTCACTGGGGAGCAGGGGAGGCATGGGAAGAGATTTTACAACATTTTCCATCCGATGGCCCTCCTGAGTGACAGCAAAAGGCCAGCAGCTCTTCACTTTTAAACCAAAGGGACTCCTGAGCAGCTGCCATTATTGACTGCCACCATAAGCAGTTCCTTACATGAGGAAAGCTGCAAATACCACACTTTAGATAATTTCTGAGCAGCCTCTGCCAAGCCCATGAGAGCTTTTTGTTGTCATTGGCCTTCACTGTAATGTGTAGATGGCTGCAGTGAGTTCCCACCACATGTGCAGGGCCAGAGGCTCCTCAGCAGGCACTGCAGAACCCCTTGGTTAGAGGTTCACCCTGCAGCAACATGGAAAAGGTTCCAGCTCTCAGCATTCAGCAGCTCTGTTCCTCAGGCAGCCCGCTGGGCTCTGTGGGATCTGTGCTGATCCCTGGAAATGCCTTTAACTGCTCCCAAGGGAGCTCCCTCCCAGAGTGAGCAGGGTCAGGGAGCTCTTACAGCCTTTGTCTGTGGGGAACATGCAGTACCACCAGTGTTTGGCATTCTGCTGTACAACTCACCAAGCTGCAAAGATTGAAAAAGAAACCACCCCCCCACACGTGACCCAGAAGGGACAGATTGAGGACATAATGCCCTTGATTGAAAAGGGAGGCACCCAGGAAACCTTGTGGTATATTTATATTTTTTTTTAAACTAGAACTAAAGTAATTTGGCATGTGTGTCCCCTGAGCTACTTCCTAAACCACAGCTGCATGAGGAATTATCTAGCTCTTAGCTGAAGTAACTTCTCAAAAAAACCCCAAACATGTAGGTCATCAAAGTGCTAATAAAAAAAAAAGTTGATGAATCTCTGAGCAGTGCTCTGATTATCTCTCTGTGGGGAATGAAGAACTCATTAACATGAGCTCCATGCCACTCCCTCGTCCTTTCTCTGAGTTTGGCATAAAGCAAGGAAACAAATGTTTGTGGTTTGGCCAAGTTTCTAATGAGTAGCTCAGCTAGGTCCACTGATTAGACACGTGGCTCTATGGAGAGTGAAAAGGCTGCCCTACCATGTAAAGTGGCAAAGAGTGGCAAAGCATTTCTGCCACACTGGGTTCCCGAAAAGGAACCACTTTACTTCTTGTGTGGATGTTTTTCAACGGATTTAGCAAGAACTGTACACAGAGAGGGTTTCCCTGACATGGCCAACAGAGAGAAACAGTGTGAGGTCCAGAGAGGGCAACAAAGGCGGGTGTATGTCTGAGGGGTCACTCTCCAAGAATTGTTGTTGCAGCTTGCTATGTGTTTGGTTTCACTTGTTAAGGGGGGGGTTTGCTGCTAAGATACAGTCCAAACCCAGAAGAACAGTCCTGCCTATCGCCTGTCCTCCCTGCTGTGGGTGTTACCTGTCCCACTCCACAGAGGGATGTCTGCACAGCAGCCCCAGGCACTGCAGGAGCCCACAGGCAGAGTTCTCAATTTGCTGCACCACCTGCAGCAGCTGCAGCACAGAGATCTGCCTAAGAATGGCCCACGCCACTGACTCTCTAGAAGCACCTGGCAGCTTTTTGAAGGAGGGAACAAAAGCTCCAGAACTAATGGGAGAAGTCTCTTCCATGCAGGAAAGTTTCTCCTTGATCATGCTTGTAGTCCATTTATAGCCTGAATCATCAGTACATTCAGCTTCATATCATAATCCTTCCAAGACTAAAGTAGAGCTCATCTACATGCCCAGGAGAAGAAAACTCACCCTACAATAAACCTGAAAGGCATCTGCTGGGATAAGCAACTGCTGCCTCTGAAATTCAAATATCAGTGTGTGTGATCAATGTCACGCAGCACCTTAGCACTCCTGAGACATCAAGTCTGTCCCCTGCTGCTGCAGACAATGCATTGTATAATGACTTTAATAAACTACAACTTACAAGCAGTGAGATTTTCCATTCCAAATACCCCTCTCAGAAAAGGCAGTATTTGATTGCTGTAATGGTTAACAGCTCTCTTCTGGTTTCCAGCTGAAATTTGTGTGTGGCCAGTTCCTATTCAATCCTTCATGTGCCTGCACCCTCTCTAGTAAGCAGTTGTCTGGGCCAGAGCTCAGAATTCAAGGCAAATCCCAATCCACCAATTTCATTCCAGTATAACACTCACTTTCAAAACCACACCTAAAGTTTGTAATTTATTGGCCTCTTCACGTTCAAGGTTTATTAAAATGTGATACAGCTGTAATTTTTTTCCAAAAGGAAATAAAAATGAGGGGATGAACACGGATGGAACAGCCCTACTAATTCCACGAGTGTTAAACTGAATTAATAGGCAAATTGGAGAAAGCAAATTGCTCCAACCTTCATAGCACGCTCCACATGTAATTATATATTCTTCCTGTGCCCAAGGGAAGTTTTAATTTCCAACACCCACCAGATAGTTAACTAAGACTTTAACTAAGACTTTAACTAAGGGATCTTCTAAATAACAGATGCTGTGCCACCTCATCCCCTTATTAGTGGCCGGTACCTGCAGGTTCCCGTGGCTCTGGTGCAGTCAGGTGGAGCCATCTCAGTGCTGGGCACACATTTGCAAAGTTAAAATGTGTTCTGCACCCTCTCTGTATTCAAGTCAGCCATCCCATGGCTGGACATTTTGGTGCCTCAGGCACTTTTTTCTCCAAGGACCCCTCTAGCTCCCAAGGGCCCTAGCTCACTTTTCTGTGATGGTCCTGTAGCTCCTCCACTGCTGTGAGGCTGACTCCATCAGAAGAGAGTCCTGGCACAGGATCTTCATCCTACCCTGCTCCAGCCCTGCTGCTTTCCCCATGACCACAGTCCTCGAGGGGCTCTTTAAAAGTGAGCAGTACCCAGAATTAAAAGGTTTTGTCCTCCGAATATACATGGAGTTAGTTAATGTGTGATTTTACACCTGTGAACAGCAGTGCTGATTTCAAAGGGACCTTCTAAGACTTTCAAGCATATTTTACAAAGTTTCTGCTTTATCCTGCTCGTAATTCACTCCTAGCCTGGATCATGGGGACTCGTTGAACTTGAGGACTTCTGCGTCTTAGAAATAATTAAAAACATAATTAAAATACAGAGGGGTTTTTTTTGTTTGTTTGTTTGTTCTGTTTTGTTTTAGATTTTGTTTTGTTTTATTTTTTGCATAAAAAGGAGAACTATCACCCAGTGCTTCCGTGGCTTCAAACATCTGGTCAGAGCCGCTCAGATGTAACAAAACCAGCCCTGAAACCGAGAAACCAAGTAACTTTGGGTGGGGAACCAAGAACAGGGATGATTTCAGCCGCAAAGCGGAACAACTACAAAAAGCCAAGAAAACAAAAAACAGGGAGGGAAGAAAGGAAAAAAAAAAAAAAGAAAAAAAAAAAAGAAAGCGAAAGAAAGGACAGTGTTTGCCAATATGACTTTAGCATTTTGTGCAGCTTTTTTTTTAGCCAGGGCTGCTCTCGGCAAAAGAGCTTTCTCCTGAGCAGCACGAGCCATCTGGAGAAGCCGTCTGCCGCCTTTCAGCCCCAACAACTGTTTAAATTTCTCACCATTTCCCTTCCAACCCGGGGTTTTGTTGTTGTTTGCTCAGTGGGCGTGGGTTCTTTATTCATTTTTCCCGCACACAGCTCCCTGTGTGCCCCCACTGCGGGTCCCTCTCCGGCCCCTGGGGATCGATGCTCCAGCCCCGCACTGCAGGTACAGCAGGGGCGCGGGCCGGGCGGCAACAATGGAGCGCAGCCGGGGCGGGGGACGCTGGCGGTGCCGCCGCCCCTCGGCCAAGCTGGAATCCGTGAAAGAACGATGGAAGGCGGCCGTAATTCCAACTTGGCCGAGGGGCGGCCGGGGAAGGGCGGCGGGCGAGCCCGCAGCGCTGCCAGACAGTGTTCCAGGGCGGGCGGGCCGGCGCGGGAGGAGGAGCCCAGGTGTCCCTTCCTGCCACATCGTGCGCCGCCCCTTTCCCCGCCCGCTCCCGCGGTGGTGCTGGCGCTCCCGCCGCCGGGCGCGGGGATGGACTGCAGCACAAAGGCGCGGGCCCGCTGAGGTAACGCCGCCCGGGCTGCGGGCACCGCCGGGCCACGGCGGGCACCGGGGATCTCCCTTCCCGCCCGGCGCGGCGCCGCGGCCGCCCCGGGGCTGCGCGGGGAGCGCGGGGCCGCGGGATGGGGCGGTGCGGGGCCGAGGGGGAGCTTGGCCGCGGGTCTGCGCCAGCTCTCCGCCGCGGGAGATGCTGCAGCGCTGCCGCTCTGCCTCGGCGCCGGGCTGAGGAGGAGGACGGCGCTTTAAATAATGCGCCTCCGCTCCGAAACTCCGCTAATCAAATAAAACCTTGGGAGTGATTGTTGTAACCGCGGGCTGTCCCTGCTCTGCCGCGAGGCTCCGGACTCCCTGCGCCCCTCGGAAAACTTCTTAAAATGTACATTATTTGGGGGTGCTGTAGTGGCGCGCAGCTCCCCCTTCGCCGCGGGTCGCGGTGCGGAGCGCCCGGGATTGCGCTTCCCGGTGCGGGCTCAGGCATTCCGGTCACGGCAGCGCGGAGCCACCGGCGTGACCGGCATCAGCCCAGCGCCGCTCGCTGCTGCGGGCTCGCCCCGGCCACCCAGCCCTGCTCGCCGTTTGGGATTGTCTCCGTTCTGTGCTCGCCCTAGGGAGGAGGAAATTCAGGATTGCTGCCTTGAACTTTAGGCTCCGGGAATGAGGATTTACGATGGGCCTTTCGGGAGTTTGTTCCTCGGTGTTGGTCAGTTTTCATCTCGCATTAAAAAGCTTATTTAAGAATTCAGAGCGGAGTTATCAGTCAGTGTTCACTGCAGACTTCAGGGCAGGCAGTGTCTGCATGGCTGAGCGATGGGATTTTGGCAGGGAAGCCTTGGAGTGGCTCTGTAAGGAGGGTAGAGCATGCCTCAAAAGCAACGACGTGGTCGTGGAGGTGGGTTGCCTCTGTTTCTGTCTCAGCATCATTATGTTACAAGCAGGTTGAGCCTGAATCTGCTGGTTTTCATTCACATGTCCTGGACTCGTGTCTGGAGGGTAGTGATGTGATACCAAGTGGAGGGAAAATGTGTAGGCATGTGCCTCATCTGCGTAGCTCCACTGTGTGGAGGAGTTAAGTTTAAAACAACAAATAGATAAAATCAATGGCAATGAATATCCGGGCCAAAAAATGAATGGCCAAGGGTTATAAAAGCATGAATGTATGGAATTGCTGAATTGTGTGGGAGAAGTTGCTGCTTAAATGAGCTTTGGTACCAGAGGAATGAAGCTGACAAATGTAACCTCAGCCTTTCAAAGAGCGCTCTGGTGTGCCTGGGGCAGCTTCAGGCTGTCTCGCTTACCTTCTGGTCCAGTTGCTGGTGACTGGAGTGCAGCACAGGTGTGGCACAAGTCTGGCTGTGTGTGACCTGCTGGGAGGGGATGGTGGTGGCTTTTGGGGGAGTGGTGCAAGACGGGGCAGGTTCTGCACGTGTCTGCTTTGACAGCAGTTCTGCTGTGAAGAACTCCCTTTTGCCTCCCTGCCACGGTTTGCCCTGTACCAGGGAGTTCTCAGGGTGACACTCCCGGTCACTTCAGTGGCCTTGCTGGCTGGAAGCTGTGTGTGAACAAACTGTACAAACCTCCTTGGTGGCATCCAGTACTCGCAGGGAAAGAAAGTGTCAACCCAGGGGACAGCATGAGCTCTTTGGCTGTTATCAGACAAGCTCCTCAATGCTGATTTGAGTAAGAAGTGCATGTATTTCTCAATGAAACAAAAAGATAATTGTGTAACTAATAGAATATACCAGCTTTAACTTTAGATGTTGTCATGTTAATGCTTTTAGCATTAGTTGCATTATTTCTCAGAAGATATTATTACTTGAGTTTAATTTTTGTTGGAAGAATGTGAAGTCCCAGGCAGAAAGGGGTGGGCTGCTTAGGGGTTGAGTGTTTAATGACAGAGGTTAGTGCACGACGATGATGATGATGATTAAGCACGTCCTTAATTCCTGACCAATAGATGGAGTGCTGCTATGCTTTAGGATATCTGGGGATTTAATGGTCTCTTGGTTAAATCAGTCATTATCCTTGACTCTTGCCTGAGGATTGAGGCAGCTGACATTATTTCAGGGAAAGGTGATTTTAGGGTGGTGCATTCAAGCTGTCATTTACCCCACAATCATCTAACCCAAAGAGAAGATCCAGGTGATGCTGTGACCCCCCAGGCTTTGCAGTGCTTGCAGGGTGGTTGGATGGAGCAGGGTCAGTGCCTTGGCCAGCAAGGTGAGCTGCAGCCCTTGCAGTGCCCCTTGGCTGGTTATGGAGTGAGCTGGTGGACAGGGCTGGCTGAGCCCAGCTGGGCTCGGCGTAGCTGTGCTGGAACGGGCCCTGTTGCATGTGATGTTAGAGGTGACATTGCACGCAGGGGCCGCCTGCTTTTGTTCAGCTCCACTTGTTAGAGGCCAAATGACCTGGCATAAGACTCTGTTTGCTGTGAAAATCGTGAGAAATTGACGTGTAAGAGTGAAAATCGTGAGAAATTAACATGTAAGAGATGAGAAACGAAAACTGTTTTAAGAAAGGCCAGCATTAGTTTGTTTCCTTTTGTAAGGGAATGTTTTACGGATCAAGAACTGAGCTGAAAGAAGGCAAAAGGCTGCTGGTTTTTCCCTTGTTAAAATCATCATTGCCAGTTAAAACTGCAGCGCTGTCCTTGCTGCGCTGTGGATGGTGCTGGAATGATAATGCTTTAAAAAAACAATTTTAATTTAGGGGAATAACTTGCCTCACTTTGAGATGGTGCATAAAATTGCCTTTTTGCTAGCGCTTTTTAAACTGGATATGAATTCTAGTTTAAAAAATGTCCTGTAACTTCAGCAGCCATAGTAACCTCTGGCTATTATTTCCCTTGTAAATCAATTTTGCATTTTCATAGTGCTGCTGCTTCAAAAACCGAGTTGGTCATTGTTTTGGTATTGACTTAGAAGAATGCAATCTATATTTTTTAATAGCATTGCTTCCCCTTACATCTCACGCTTTTCTTCAAGCTATGTTTTGAAATGCCTATTGCCGTATGAGAGATGGTGGTGTGGCTTCTGGTAGGATTCTTGGGGGTTAGTTCTCTTTTGTGTAGTACTTTTGGCAGATGAATAAAACTACTTGACAGGGAGCAAGCAGTTACTTACTCATTGTGTGTTAATATTAGTTCTATTTGCCCACAGAGTCTACTCTGCTTTTTGGCAGATGAAGATGAATAAAAACTACTTGACAGGGAGCAAGCAGTAACTTACTCATTGTGTGTTAATATTAGTTCTATTTGCCCACAGAGTCTACTCTGCTTCTATATGAACTCTGAGTCACTTGACATGTGGGAAAACACTTTTGTTTCTTTCCTGTATTCAAGATAACACATGTCATTGTACATCATCACAAATGGGATTTTGAGGGATTTCATTTAAAGATATCCTAGCAAGTACATAGCTTTTTTGCAGATAATCTATGATCTAGATTATTAATTAGGAGAAACAAATTTTAATTGGTTAGATAAGAAAGTATGTTCAGTTATGGCATGCTCTTAATCTGGGCTGGTGGCAGAGGGATGGCGGTTCAAAACTGTAGAGTAAACTGGAAAATGCTGACTACTGAAAACTTGAAAATTTCTACGGATTCATTGAGAAGTTGGATAATGGGAGAAGGCTTGAGAGCATCACACCTCAGTGGGAGGGTGATGGCTCCCAGTATTGCCCCCTGCATCTTTACAGTCTGGTGAATATGATGTAGGTATTTGTTTATTTAGGACTCCGGGAGCATATTAAACATTGTTTGTGTCTTACGGTAGTAATGTCAATTCTGCTCGACAAGGATGCAATTCAGCTGTTACAAAGTGCTAATTAGGGAAATATTCTAATAGCCTCATTCATTGTTCTCGTCTGTGGTCTTGGCTAGGAAGAAACTCTTTTCTTGCCTTGTATTGTCTAGCGTGTTAAAATCCAAGTGGCATCAAAGCAGGAGGAGAATTCGCAGTTTTCTTGTGAGTCAGCAGGCTGAGGTGAGGATCCGTAAATCACGGGCTGGTGTGAGAGCTGGGGCTTGCTTTGTAGCATTTCACGTTGTGTTTTCTTGACCCACAGCAGCTGACAGCTGGTAAATCCCTTCTCCCTCGTGCAGTTGGAATCTCCTGGAGTTACTTCTCCAGCTGAAGTACGTGGCAGTCCTGAGCAGCAGGAGCTGACGGCAGCTTGCTGCTGTTCCCATTGTTGCTGTGCTGCCCTGAGCGAGTACCTGGCGTTACTGGCAGCCCTTCAGCCAAGGGCTGAGCTCTGCTGTGTTGGCCAGACCAAGAGGATTCATTCAAATTCAACTGCTTTGAAAATCTCTGCTTGTTGTCTTCATCTATACCTGTAATAACTGATCCCAAGCTTTTTTTTTTTTTTAATATCATGCATATATTCAAGTGTTAAGTTTCATTGTTTTGGGTTTTTTGACTTGTAGAAAATGGTATCCCTCTGCATATTGTCCATTGCTATTACACTGAACACAATCTAGGTTAGAGGCCAGGTGGATCTGCATATTCTGTTTGCAAATGCACAGTAAAAGTCAGCCCTGGAAGGACACCTGCATGTGTCCTGTGGTAAACAGAGTGCAAAATAGGAAAGCTTACTTGATGGGTAAAGCTTGCTTAACTGTTCAATACAGTCAAAACAAGGAAGGAAAAAAATATAT